GAGGACCAAAACTGTTTATTTAGCAGTTATATGATACACTGATAACAGTGTTGTTGACAAATCATAATAATCAATCTCCACGAATTAGTCTGCTATAGGCTCAAAAAACAAAGACAAAACTGTCAATGGTGTACCATAAGAACATAAGATATCAGAGCAGAATTTGGCCATGCAGCACATCATGTCTGCTTTACCGTTCGAACATGGCTGACATGCTTCTCAACCTCATTCCCTTACTAATGAAGAATCCATCCAATTCTGTCTTAAAAACATACAATGACTTGGCCTCCACAGCATTCTGCAGCAATAAGTTCCACAGATTTACCATCTTCTGGCTGAAGAAATACCTCCTCATATCATATCTAAATGGTCATCCCTTCATTCAGAGGCTGTGCCCTCAGATCCTATTCTCTCCTACTCGTGACAACATCTTTTCCATGCACACTCTATCCAGGCCTCTCAGTTTTGTGTAAGTTTTAATGACAGCCTCCAATCCTTCTGAACTCCATCGAATACAGACCCAGAGTCCTCAACTGTTCTTCATAAGACAAGACACCAGTAGCACACCAGAACTTCAAGAGAGTCAGAGGCAGAGTTGAGCATAGTGACCTTCACTAAGGAGAAGATGCTGAGGAAGCTGAAATTGGATAAATAACAGGGACCGGATAGAACACACCTCAGGGTTGTGAAGGAGATAGCTGAGGAGATTGTAGAGGCATTGATGGTAATCTTTACTAGAGTCACAAAGGGTCCCAGAGAACTGGAAGTTATAGGCCAATTAGCCTGACCTTGGTAGTTGGTAAAATTTTAGAGTCCGTTATTAAGGATGAGATTGCTTGTGTACTTGAACGTGCGTGGTACAAAAGGGCCAAGTCAGCACGGCTTGTCAAGGAGAAGTCATACTTGACAATCTGCTGGCATTCTTTGAGGAGGTACAAGCAAGTTAGACAAAGGAGATCCAGTGAACATGATATGTTTGGATTTCCAAAAGACCTTTGACAAGGTGCTGCATAGGAGGCTGCTTAATAAGATAAGAGCCGATGGTGTTAGGGCGAAGATACTGACTGGCATGAACAGAGGAGTGAATGACTGACAGAACACAGAGAGTGAGGATAAAGGGGCCTTTCTCAGGATGGTTGCTGACTCATGGAGTTCCCCAGGGTGCATGTTGGGACTACAACTATTTACGTTATACATTACCAATTGGAACAAAGGAACTGAGGACTTTGTTGCTAAGTTTGCAGCTGACACAAAGATAGGTGGAGGAACAGATAGCTTTGAGGAAGCGGGGAGGTTGCAGAAGGAGTTGGACAAGCTTAGGAGAGTGGGCAAAGAATTTGTAGATGGAATACTTGTGGGAAAGTTTGAGATTATACACTTTAGAAGAATAGAGAACTAGAGTATTTTCCAAGTGGAAAAGGCTTCAGAAATCTGAAGTACAAAGGGATTTCAGAGTCCTAGTTCAGGATTCTCTTGTGGTTAACATGCAGGTTCAGATGGCAGTTAGGAAGGCAAATGTGATGTGAGCATTTATTTCAAGGAGGCAGAATAGAAGAGCTTTGACAGAAAGTCACCATTTTCGCCAAAGAATATGACACTTATCATGTCATGAAAAGATATCTGAAATCACATTAATTTGAGTGAACTGCAAAAGGTCAGGATTCGTCAGAATGAGGTATGACTATGTAATAAATGAACAAATATTCAGTGTGCAAAATGGCGAATAGTTTGCTGATTATCGGTACTGGAGTTTCAGGAAATACGTGCTGAAGAGAAAATTTTAATGTTTTTATCAAACAAGTAATCAACAACTGAAAGTTATATGTACCCTTCGCCTTAAAATATTCCAAGGCACCGCACAGATACATAATTAAAAAAAAATTGGTTGGACGCATATAGGAAGACAGTCAATCAAATGAGCGAATAGTTTATCAGAGACAACTTTAAAGGAGTTAGTTTAAATAAGAGGAAAGTGAAGTTGAGAGGAAATTCCAGAGCTTAGGCAACTGAAAGCACAGACATCAGTAGTGACAGTTCAAAAACAGGAAACCATTGCAAGGGACACTGTGGCAATGTGTCAAAAGCTAAGCCTGACACCAGTTGAGAGCAGGAGGATGACAATGAAGAGGGATTGAAGGAGGATTGTCAACTATGTCAAAAGTTGCAGATAAGGAGGCAATTTTGTCACAGTGATGTCAGATGCAATTTGTGACTTTGACATTTTGACGTTGTGATAGAGGCAGAAACATGAGTGAAGGGATTCAAGACATTGGGATCAAGAGTAGGTTCCTAAGCAATGGGGATAACAGCACAATTAAAGGGGAAAAGGACAACATCTGAAGAGAAAGAACCATAAATAACACGGGATGACATCAGACCAGGATCAGCCCACAAAAGTGGGGTCATGATTTCAAATTTTAGGGTCGCGAGAGTCAAGCCAGTAATGCTGCTACGCAGTTCAGACCAAGTTACAACAGCCAAGCTCTGTTTTTCCAGACCCCATGCTCTCAGTTCTCACTGAGGGGCTGCGACAATTTTCAAGCTCGGAAATGAGGTCATAGTGAGAAAACATTTGGTAAGCACTGAAGCAGAAAGTGGATTTCATGGACAAAATAAGCTTGGAGAGGACACTGGAGAGAAAGAAGTAAAACAGGAGAAAGATGAGAGTACAGGCTGAGGCACAGAGGAATTTTACCTGATGTTTGGCTCATGGGCTAGCAGAAGGAAGGGACACGCCAGAGGCAACTGATCAGATGGCCTCAATTTTAGCGATAATGGTGTCTATGAACTCCTTGCATTTATTGATGGAGGTTAGGGTGTAAGGGGACAAGGGTGAAGCAAATTATTTACAGGAGAAATGAAATGGGAGTTTTCTCTGCATTCCAGGATGACTCTGGAGTAGTTAGTAGCTTTGGCAGATGAGAGCAGGACCTAATATTATTTCATGCAATTCACTCAGATGTGATATCTGCCATATCTTAGCAAGTCTGTATCCCTTGGGCTTAAGACAGTGGGGTCACTTGGCTTAAGCAGGGGTTGTGAATGAGAAGAGAGAAGAATGATTTTATTGGTAACAGTAATGCATCAAAGGCAGAGGTAAGAGAACAACTGAGCAAATTCAGTACCTGCTGAAATATGGCAAACTAAAGACAAAAAATTAGAAAGCTTACATTTGAAAGGGTGGTTATAAGTGATATAGGGAATAGTTCTTTTCAAGAGTCAGATATAGATATGAATTTGGAAGTTATGATAGAAGGTGTGTGATTTATATATATTTTAATATCATTTATTTTCGATTTGGATTTGACCTAGTGGCATCTGGGTTTTGGTCTGTATGTATTGAATAACCTGTAAGTATTTCTATAGTTATGGTGATCAGTGATTTCTCTTAAAACACAGTATTAGAGAAAGAATTCTTAGTTTGTAATGGTGATTTGCTTCTGTTGGAAGAATTTAGGAGCAAATAAGGTATACATTTTCAGTTCAGAAGGTCAGAAACTGATTTTTTTTTTTCTTTTGATACAGGAAAACACTTTGAAAAATTCTTTTGGGTTTCAGTTTGGAAGTTTGTAAAAGACTCGGTTGCATTTGGATATCTAAAATAGTTGCTGTTATTGTTAAGAAATTGAGGTAAGGCATTCCAGACCAGAAGTGTTTGGTTAACATGCTGAAGATGTTATTTGAACCTGAGAAAATCTACGCTTAGCTGGAGGGAGGCTTAAGAGAGAGAGACTGCAGATTCTCTGCACCGGGAATTTTTGCATCTTTGGAGTAAAATCCTATGTTTGCTAGAGAAAGGAATTTTTTCTCAGTGTGCATACTACAAAGGACTGCTGTTAGGATTAATGGGATTATATTTTACCACGAGTTTCAACTCTTAATCTTGTGTTACAAGCATATAGTTTTATTCAATTTATTCCTTTTTTTTCCTTTTGTTTCATTACCTTCTACAGCATCGTGCACTTGTATTTCGGTGGAAGAGTACAAAAAACAAAATATGAAATATCAAGCCAAGATTTCAGTCTAGGATGTAACTTGTCGAGTGATAATATCATAATCATAATAGAGTGGAAAGGGGATGTAGGTCTAGAATGATGCAAGGAAATGATCAGAGGTGGCCTTATTTATAATTGATACAATGGGACTAGAAATCTGATATGAGATTATAACTCTAAAGGGCAGTTCTCAATATGGGTCGGGGAGTTTACATCGAAATACAAGTGCACGATGCTGTAGAAGGTAATGAAACAAAAGGAAAAAAAAGGAATAAATCTAGTGAGGATAAGTAGAAAGTGAACTCAGGGGAAAGAGAACATGATAAGTTGAGATGAAGGCTAAAATCACAGGAGGATGATAAGCTGTTCAGTGCAGAGGCTGAGGTGGAAAGCAGTGAATTTGTATGATAATTCTAACAAAAAGTCATTGGGAAAGGATACAGGACAATCATTTTGAATGAAAGGTCAGAAGGGTGGAAAAGGTGAGATGTTTAAAGGAGAAAGTACTAGAGAAACGATAGTGGGCGGGGAAGGGGGGGTGGGGCCAGTGTTGGGCAAGAGGTTGAATCCATTATCAGGCAGGGAAGCTTCATTAAGGTGAAAATGTCATTATCTCTTAACCAAGGACTGTGACAAGGCTTCCGAGATAAGTGGATACGCCAAGAGTACTTTGGAACTTAAGCTATCGTTTTGATTGAGGGGGCGACTTTGTGTAGCCTGGTGAATTATGGAATGGAAAGGGCAGGAAGTGGTAGGCCTAAGACCAGATGGAAAGACACGTTGGGAATCACAAAGAAATAGATGACTGACAAGAAATAGACGGGGTGATCAATCAGCATTGTGGAGAGGCCAAGCAAAGTAGGAGAAGCTGAAAGAAAAAGAAGTGCCATTATAAAATATTTACATACAAACGACCGCAGTGACAACTAGTGACGGGAACTGTCAGCACTGGAGAAAACGTTAGGAATGCAATTTATGTTTGATAGCAGTTACATAGACGGCAAAGCCATTTAAACATATTCATTTATTTTATCCATTTATTTCTCCATGACATATATCAAAACATGTTAAAATTTTCACCCAAAACGAAAGCCCGTCACTCCCAATGAGCGACAGGTGGCAGGTCTATTGGGAGTACAATTACACAGCTGCATTACCAATCGCATCTGCCACTAAAAGGTATTTGTCTTTGACTTAATCTAACAGTAACATATGAAACCTGAAACTGTTCCAGAAACAAAGCCTGCCCAAGGATTTGCTACCAAGTTGACACCGCCCCTTAAAAATGTTCAAATTTGGTGTCTGGGGGGAGGAAGGGGGGAATAAAATTGCACTGAATTGTCACTGGCTCCTTCATACACAGTAACCAGGGAGACACCACATATGGCTTTGCAGCTTTTGTACATAAACTAACTTGGCTTGGCTCCTAAAACGTTACTGCACTTCTTGGAACCAGGCACACCCAGGCAAAGAAATTAGCTTAGATGGTTGAAAAAGCGCAACAAAGAAAAAACAAATCCTGAGCAGCACCTAGATACTGTATGGCCAATGTTGCTGGACTTCAGTGGTGGGGATATGTGCAACTTTTTCACGTTAACAACGATAGAGCAAAGGTAAATTATGAAATCAAAGGCAGCAGTTTTTTAATCCAGATTACACAGATTTTGCGTTTATAAATGGAGATCGTGCGACAAGTTGATTGCATCTGAAGTTTCCAGACAGAAATAGGCTGTCACTTATTATCTCTTAGAATTAACCTATTCAATGAATTCTCTGGTTCTTGAAAATAACAAATAATTATCATCCAAATTTGGAATATTTTACATCTTTAATGACTGTCATATTTGGACCAAAGGAAGCCACAACAGTTGGGGCAGATGGTAATCACACTTTGTTTTGACTCATTTAGATTTTCTCTGAAGAAAGGAAGGAAGGGTGTATACTGTTTGAGAGGCTCCATGATTATGTGTTTTGGAGGATGTAGTGGCACACAGCAAAACAAGCTCATTCACCTCAATTTGGTTGGTCTTTATTGAAGTTGGTTCTTAGGAATTATCCAAGATCGTGTGTTATCAAAGAGAGGAGGGGGGAGAAGAAAAATATGATTACTACGCTTTCAGATGGTACAACTATAAAATATGCTGTGGCTTTATCATAATTAAAATGGTTAGCCTAACAAAGATTATATTTCCCAATTTTCTGTCAGTCAGATCTGCTCTTGGATTCTGAACAAAATACTATTGGTATTTTCATTTTGTGACAAAGAATGCCAGATTTTAAGGCATCAAGTTTGAGAATGGTCAAGGTAAGATGCTGACTGAGGAAGAGGCTTTGATGTTCCAGTTGGACTGTGTACCAGCTCACCTTCCATGATCTAAAACAAAGGTAAGTAACACCATTAGATTTGGGTTAGAGAATAAAATGGTCAGCACTGCAAGACTTCAAATTAATCTAAAATTGTCTGGTGCTCACAAGGACGTACCATGGGGTTGTCGGATGTCATTCCCGCAACGTTACACAGTTCAAAATGTTTCTGGTCTGGCATAAACAACATGAAATGGATGGCTACAGCATGATATTGAATATCATAGCGAAGAGATTCATGAGCTACAATAATCTTTTTGTCCTGCTGATAGGACTATCTGAACTATGGGAGAATGGCTGAGAAAATTACAGATGTGCAGGTATAATATTCAATCTTAAAAAAATGTTCAGAACAACCAAAATGAATATTAAGGGGATTCCCAAACCAATGTAGAATTGTGGTAACTGAAAAAAATCCTTTGTTAAACTTCCCGCATGAATTGGCTCAACGCACTAAGTATCAGGAACAACAGGCTCAGATGAGATGAGTATGTGTACAATTGCAACTTGGTATTAATTATAAACACAGAGCTTTTATCTTGACCATTGAGAATTGAACTAGGCTCAGGGTTGTTGTCATGATCTCTACGACACGCGCATCGAGAAGGTCCAAAGGTTCCATCCCTAGACAGTGCTGATTTTGGCGAGCTCACCTAAGGCAGCAGAATGGCCCTACAATTGGCCCTGACACCTCAGGTTTAAGAAAGGGGGAAAAGAAATGGGCAGGTTTCCCATTCCTGCTTAATATACAGTGATGGCTATGCGGGTATCGGCCGAGGACGGGATCAGGCTTGGCTAATACGTCCCCTCCGCAGTTAGATATTGGGCCTGCATTCACGTCAAGGATCGTCCTTGAATAACAATCATTCGGATAATATATCGGAGGGCAATCAATGTCCATGGAACCATACACTAGGAAAGAAGGTCAAGTCCTTCAGGAAAGCAAAAGGGAGAGAATAAAAGGATTGGATTAGCCTTGAGTGGGAATGACTGGAATTGAACTAGATTGGGAATGCTTTTACTCAGTGGTTCAATTGGCCAGTGGCTGTACAAAATTTCAAACCTGAATTTTAAAATTTTCAAAACCCATGAAATCATCCAAAAACGAACACACTGCATATTCATGTTGAGAATTAAATGGCACCAGTCACTGAGCTAATGCAAACACATCCATTTTCTCATTGCAGGATGTGTATCCAGGTGCCATAAATGTAGTTGAAAATTTCATTATCCATTGCTAATAGCTCCACAGACATCAACTGTGCTGGGTCACAAAATCATTTCTTTACATTACATGGTTGACCAGCTGTAGTATCCTGGCTTAGTTCTGCGTCCAGATCCCTTGTGCACCTTGGTGGTCTAGAAAGACCCATACTGCCCTGAAGCAAACATCTCTGTTTTACAGATTCTTTTTTCAAAATTACAGACATTAAAAAAATTCTTTCAACCTCCGAGATCCATTACGATCTAGAAGACCAAAAGTTCACTTATCATTATTTTCAGAACATGAGATAAGCAGTAGTCCACCATGGCTACCATTTCTCAATATGGCTCATGTAATCCTCTGTGGGTACGCGTCCCTGCTCTTCCATTTCCTCTTTGGGCAGTTCCTCGGGGATCTTCTGTTGTTGCTGCTCCTTCTGATTCCGTATCCGTCGCTCCATCCTTTCTAGTTGCCTTTTGTACTGGAACCGCTGTTGGAAAAGGTCTTTTGCATAGTCATACAGTTGCACATCTAGGTCATTAAGTTCCTCAATCCTGTGGATTGTCTCATTATCGATCTCCACACCCGATGCGCGGGTACTGTTGAACTGTATGAAGGGCTTAATGAACTGTAAATTAAAAGTCCGCTCAAACAAGTACTGCGTTTTCCTTTGGAATTCAGTCAAACCAAAGAAAGCCATATCTTTGAGGTTCTTCTTGGCGCTTTCCAAAAGCATCTGGGCTCTCTTCCTCTCGGGAATGAAGGACATATTGTAGCAGCCCACCAGACTGAGGTCTGCAAGCATTCTCACCTGCCGGTTGTTTGCCAGGTTAAATGGGCAGTCCATGAATTGTTGAAGTGTGCAGCCTGACCAGTCGTTCCCCTCGTAGCACGGCGGCAGTTCCTCAGGCGTTGGTGTCCTCCCATCACACATGTGGAGTGAGGTCTTCCACGTGGCTCCTCGTTGGACATGCCTCCATTCACTAAGGTAGCGTGAGACGGGATCTCTTAACATTGTGATGTAGTAGAATTTCCTGCAAGACAAAATAAATACAATATGTTTCAGTTTCTTCATTGACTGGTCAATATTGAAGACAACATTATCTACCCAAACGTTTAAAATTTCGAAGTTAAAATTTCTGCTGCAGCCCTATTAATCACATAATATCAAGTACTGCTGTATAAAGGACAAATTTTATCAAAGCTTTTTGTCTTGCACTTAACTAGATATTTACAGGAACACCAATACAAAAGGTAACGGCACTTTTTTTATTCGTGTGTGGGATGTGGGCATTGCTGACTAGCCAACATTTATAGCCTGTCCCTAATTGCCCTTCAGAAGGTGTTGGTGATGAGCCTCCTTCTTGAACCACTGCAGTCCACTTGCTGCGGCTCGACCCATAATGCCATCAGGGAGGGAATTCCAGGAGTTTGACCCAGTGACAGTGAAGGAACAGTGATATATTTCCAAGTCAGGATGGAGAGTGGCTTGGAGGTGAACTTGAAGGTGGTGGTGTTCCCATGTATCTTCTGCCCTTGTCCTTCGAGATCACGATGCTCGTGGGTTTTGAAGGTGCCGTCTTAGGATCTCTAGCGAATTTCTGCAGTATATCTTGTAGATAGTACACACTGCTGCTACTGAGTGTCGGTGGTGGAGGGAGCAGATGTTTGTGGAAGTGGTATCAATCAAGCGGCCTGCTTTGTCCTGGATGGTGTCAAGTTTCGTGAGTGTTGTTAGAGCTGCACTTATTCAGACATTACTGTATGACAAGAGATTGCCAATTGGTTGACAAGTGAATACTGATTGGTATTGGTATTGCAACGGAGAATGCACCAGTTAGATGATAACTGACAATTAAATGTCTATGGCAATGACAGTACATTTGCCAACCAAACAGTGCTTTCTTCTCATACAGTATAAAATGTTGCTCCTGTTTACATTGATATTCTTGTGAATGTCCTGATGAATGAAAAATTAAACATTTTGACAAAATGTCTTTTCTCACTGATACTCAAGGTCTGTACTGCTGTCAGCTAAATGCATTATTCATCTTTGTATTGTATTAATCACTTTCAATTATGTGACTGTTCTTTTATTCTTTTCACGTTAATAAGGTAGACTGGTTGTGGTGAAATCCTATGTGCAGAGTTTGTCTCATGTTGTTGATAAGAATCAAGGAAAGAGAAATGGTACCCTGATCGAATAACCGTATTGTCAAGATTTGATGGAATTCAAACTTTCAGACAGCACAAAAAAGAACTTATTTGATTAATTCAGTTGCTCCAATTAAATATTTTATCTGTGGATATATAATGGGACATTTTTCTATAAATATTGAAAAAAAACTTTGCTCAGAACAGCAACTCATCATCATACAATTCTCAGACTGTTTTAAAGCAAATGGTGGTTTTAAACTGAGTGATATCAGACTGGCCATTCATTATATGCCCTGTCCAATTTCCCTTCCTGATGTCAATGGTCAGGAACATTGGGTGTAATTAATAATAAGAGGCAGTGAAATGGATTAATACACCAATGATAAAACTCATAATAAACCCACAAGACCAAAATGTTTGAATGCCCACAGAATCAAAATGTTTCCTTCCAGAATACCGGACATCACTGAACGAATTCATAAAGAGAGACAACAGATGGATAGCACTCCCTCTGCTCTGAGTAACAAGGTTCTGAGTTGATGTCCCACCTCAGGGTTCAAAACTCAAGCCTGACACTCCACTGCAGTATCGATGGAGTTCCCCTCTTTTGGATGAGACATTAAACCAGATGTCACTTGCTCGTTTGGGGGAGCAGGGTGGGGAGGTGTAAAGGAAGCCTTGGCACTATTTTGAAGGAGAGTTATTCCCAGTATTCTGGCCAATATTTATCCCTCAATCAACATCACACAAAAAGAAAGTTATTAGATCATTATCAGATGGCTGCTTATGGGAGAATGTTGCACACGGATTGGCTGCCAGGTTTCCTACATTACATCAGTGACTACACTTCAGAAGACATCTCGTAAAGCACTTTGAGGCACCCAGTAACCATGAGAGGCGCGATATAAATGGACTACATAAAAACACACATGCTAATATCCTGGTTGGCTCAGCTCCTGACCGCAACCATGAACTTGGGAAGATGTTGAGCGGCTTCAGACGGTAGTGGGAGGCGGCACTGAGAATCCACGGTGAACAGCAGCGTGTCAAGAACTTCTGGCACTCACAAGTTTAAATCCCTCTTGGAGTTTCATCAAAGAATTCAGAAAATGTGCAAATTCCAGGAATGATTGCCTCCTGTTCCTCTGTGCCTCTTAATCTAGGCAAACATTCAGTAATGAGGGCCTGATTTCAGAAGGAATTGCCAGCAATTTGGGCTGCTGCTTTTATCCGTGAAAACACACAAAGTCAAAGCCTACAGGCAACATTTTGAAAGAAAAATAGAGATGAAAATTAAGCTGATTGTGGCCTATCCCAGAATAAATTGAAATGAAAGCCAAAGTGATTACATAAATAATGCACGATTCATTATCTGTCAACAGTAATGCATGAATGTAGTTTACCTCATTACTGCCTTACAAAAGACCAGTGTGTTAGGCCTGCTAGTGGGACAGATATAATCTCCCCACTTCACAGCACATGAATTAACTAGTATGAACATTCAACTTATTTTTCCAAAATGCACAAGCAACTTAATTCCAATGGATGCACTGTGGTTCTTTGCTGCTTATAAATTGAAAATTAAGTAAATGTTTACTCAGTTTCACATGGCTCTGTGACAACTCATTTTATCAGACAGCAAGAATGCAAGAAACTCAGAGAGTTGGCCCAGGGTACAACAATTGCTGTGTAAATAAAAGATGCCACTGTGACACAAGTGCATTGGAAAACTTCAGAGTCTATTATGCAACAGGCATTTTATATCACTGAAGGGGAAAAACTTCTCCTGAGCTAGATTCACCCATTGTTATTTCAGAATACAACGGCACTTGGTTCAAACAATGTTAGGTGAAAATTTTGGACTGCTTTTGGATTTGTGGGCAAAGATCTTTCATTCAGGCTGCCTGATGCTCCAGTAAGTTAGAGATATAAAGACATACTGCCGTTGGAGGCATGGACTTTTGAGAGCTGCACTGAAACCAGTCGTGGGCATTGGTGAGGCCTCACTATGAATACGGTGTGCAGTTTTGTTGTCTTTATTCAGAGAAGGATATCAGTGCATTGGAGGTTGTTTAGAGGAGGTTTACTCGATAGATACGTGGAGTGAGTGGGTTGCTTTAGGAGGAATAATTGGACAAGCTGGGCTTGTATTCACCTAAGTTTAGAGCAGTGAGGCATGACACAACTGAAGTTCATTTGATATTAAACACAGAATGCTGGAGAAACTCAGCAGGTCTGGCAGCATCTGTGGAGAGAGAAAGAGAGTTAACGTTTCAGGTCTGGTTTGACTCTTCTAAGATGAGACATACAGCACTTTACATTTATGAGATAATGAATGGTCTTCAGAGGATGGTATGATATGTTTAGGTTGCTGATAATCTAGAGCCATTTTGAAATTAGGGTTACCCTTTTATGATGGAGTTGAGGAAGAATATTTCCTCCCAGAGATAACATCTTTAAAGCGGAATTAGATTCATTCCCTTGCTTAACAAGATTCTCAGGTTATTGGGGATAGAGGGGAATGTGAGATTCTAAACACAAACAGACAAGCTATGGTATCATTGAATGGCAAAGCAGGCTCCAAGGGCTGAATGGGCTACTCCTGCTCTGAATTCTTCCATTTGTGACATGAGAAAACAAAGGAGGTGCTAAATTGAAGAAAAAAGCTCCTTCAGCATTTGTGAGCAGCGTGACTGATGTTGCTCACTTCATCAACACTCCAACAATAAGTGCTGCAAGAGGGTATCTTGTAACGCCACTGTACCAAGTGATAAGGCTACAGATGGATGTCAAAGGAATGAAGTTGGGGAGCCTTGAGAAACAATGTTTATTTCCAACAGACAAAGCAAATGTCAAGAGCTGATGACAGGTCCCTTTTAGCCTGGTGTGCATTTTACACAAATTTGCACTGTTATCCCTCTGATGCCAATGTCACAAAGAATTTACAGCAAAAACAGGCCATTCAGCTTAACTAGTCTATGCTGGTTATTCTGCCCCTAATAAAATTTCTTGTACCTTACTTGATCTTATTAAAATCGGCACATCCTTTTACTCTGAGTGACACTCTTGACATTTGAAAAGAAATCCATCATGCAAACTCCTTCTCCTTCCACCTACACCCCACCCCCGTCAAACTTACCCGAGCCTCTAGATTCGGGAATCAATGCACAGCCATGGTTATGACAGAAACAGAACGACTTGGCAAAACAGAAAGCTTGGAAAGACTAAATGCATCCGATTAAAAAAAAGTCAAAATTGAAATTTGCGCAATTTAAAGATGAAGTCAGTCCATTCCTGGACAGCTAAGGTACTGGTAAAAGGTGCTGACCAAGAGACTAAATCATGATGGCATCATTGAGGAGGGACACCAGGAGCAGTACGATCTGCACCCAGCCTTTAAACCGATGGACTGATAAATTATGACACAGTCTGAGACCCACTACTTCATTCTCCTCAATGGCAATTTGACAATAGATGCCAAGCAATCATTGAGAAAAATGCCAGATGCTAACTCCTGTGTGCTCCGAGGAGTGAATTTCCGCAAGCATGAAGTATGATAGTCAGCAAACTAATTGAATTTGTAGCACCAGGCAACCTTCCAATGGTTTCACAAACAAATAACACATACTGTCAGACCTGTTGTCAGTTTAAAGCCAATTACGATTGACTGTTAGAAATAGTTGCAAATATGAGCATGCGCAAGGGAAATGGCATGACGTCTGGCACTCGGAGATGTTGAATGGACCAGAAACTACCCTAAAGGGGAGAAAGACTTTCAGCAATGTTTGAGAAGTTGGAATTATGATTTTCTGAGCATAACTGAAGTGATTTATTTTGATTGAAAATCTAAGTTCTCTCCAGAGGGCCGAGAAATACA